TAAAAGATGATAAGTGGGCAAATCCTGAGATAGGAAATGTTCATTCATGTCAGCCAAATTTACATAATTTCTTTTTGTAATTAACCAATATCAAATATTGTTGTAGGCCAAGCAAAGTACCAAAAGCTTTATATACAGAACCTCCTTAACTCCTCCTTTATTCCATTTTAAGCGGAAAATAATTCTAGGCTGAGTGATAGGTAATATGATCACACCTATTTTATAAATGAGGAATTTGTGTCATAGAGCAGTTGAGCATTGGGTCAAATGGAAAGTAAGGAAGCCATGGTATCAGAATTTAAGTCCACATCTGTCCAAATCCAAACTGCCCACTCAAGTCCTATGCTATGTCTACACACACACACACACACACACACACACACACGTTTTCTTTCTCCTTCCTTTTCCTGCATTTGAGCAGCAACAATTCACTTCAGTCTCAGGAAATTTGAGCTTGACAAAAAAGTGCATGTGCTTATGTGAGTCCTACATCACACTTCCACGGGGGTGGTAAGCCTTTCCTCACATGCAAAGGGAAAGATGACCTCCCATCAGGTGGAAAGGTCACATGGCACAGGCCACTTTTACTAAATAATGCTGAACCTGCACTTCATGAAAGCAACAACAAAAGCTGTCTGCTGTAGCCCTTAAGGTACTGCACTCCTGGAAAATAAGACTCCTTTTAAGACATGGGGGTCTGTTCACTCGTTTTCATTTATTTTATTTTATTTTTTTAAATAACACTTCACATATTCTGTAAAACAGAACTGCCTGTATGACAAAAATATCTCACTATGAAGTTTTTGTTTTTCCTTGGCCATTTTAAGTGGAAAATAATTCTAGGCTGAGTTATGAATTCAAATATGAAATAGTCCCTGAGACTCGAGGAACTGACACATAGTGTATGCTGATAGCATGAAGGAAGGTACTGGGTATGGTGTGAGGATCAGGGAGATTTCCCAGAAGAGTGAGGCACAGTGGCTGGCCCAACAGAGCCCTTGAGGTCCTAAGCCCCAGCTCTGCCCATCTGAGCCCTGTCGTTTGGGGCTAGCTCCTTCACTTCCCTAAACACCACAGGCCACTACTACAGCGAGGGTATGTGGCTCATAGTTTTGTACCTTGGCTTACAGGAAACTGCATTATGTTCTTCACTTTTAACTACCTTCTACTTCCCCTTTACCATTTAGACACTCTAAGGTGGGGCTTCCCCCAGCCTCTGGCCTCTGGGTTTCTGTGTACTAATTTCTCCCTCGGGGTTACCATCCCTTAGCCACTTCAAACTCCTACAGTGCATCTCCACACAGACACCTTGCCCAGCCCCTTTACCCTCAGCCAGAGTAAAGCCAAATTTGTTATTTCTTCCCTAAGTTATCGCCTGATGCTTGGAATGGACAGTTCTTTTAAACACAGCCCCTCATCCCACAGACTCCAAACCCCCAAGTCATCCTTAGGCTTGTTTTTCTTGTTGCTTATCAGGGCAGTCACCAAATTCTGTTCCTTATCTAATTCAGTTTTTTCTTTGAGACTTCCTTCAGTCAGACCAGGAATGGAAACCCAATAGTTTATAATAATTTTGTCAGTGCTTGTTTGTTTCCTTGTTTTAGGAGTAGCAGGACTGTTTCCTTCATATTGATTTATTATTATTATTGATTTTCTTTTTTGCAATGCTAGCGATCAAACCCAAAGTCTTGAGTATGTTAGGCAAGCGCCCTACCACTAAGCTACACCCCCACCCCACAGATTTGTTATTTTAAAAACTGAAATTAAACACATTTCTGTTCTCTCATCTTAACCACCTATCTATGCTATAGTTAACTAAATTGGTTCTTGGATACCAGAGTCACTACCTTTCCAGTGTCTTATAAACAACTTCCACATTAACCTGTGCTTCCCCACTGGAAATCTCCAACAGTGTTGGAGGCTTTGTATTTAAGGTTCTCTTAAATTTCGGTCTGGCCTGTTTTTCAGCCTCCTCCATTGCTCCAATTCAGTGCTCTCTGTTCTCCCTAAATTCCCTACTCTTCTTGGAAATTACCTAGCCATTTCCTGGTCACAAACCTTTGCTCATACCATTCTTATCTCTTTTCCATACTCTTTGCCTTAGCCACATTTGCCACCTGAGGCTGAATCAGCAGGCCTTTAGCCTCTCTCACCCCAATTATTATGCTCTTTTTTTCCTTTCTGAACTCCACACCACCTTGGGATGGAATTTTCATAGCATGTATCACATATAACCTCCCTTCTAGACTATGAGTTCTTAACACACATTTTGGACACTTTTCTAGTGTGTTTCTGAACACTGACCACTCCACTGATTAAACTCTAGTCTTTGATTAAGTCACTGAGACAAGGGTAAGAGCAGTGCTTCCTTGCTCCTGCCAAAATCCACAGACCAACTTTCTATTTTCTGTCTTTTTGACCTAATTACATAAACTTACCATTTTGGAATTGGAGAGCTCAATAAGATTTAATCCCCAAACCTTTTTCATCAATGTCAGAATAAGATGCTGAGGAGAGAGTCTCCAGTCAGAACATATCACTGTCTTTTGGTAGATGGAATACGAAGACTAGAAACCACTGTGCACACCAGAAACATCTGGGTTTCCAAACCACCTCCCCAAATAGTGAACTCAGTGTCTTATATATAGAAGAAATCTTTGATGATTCTGATACAAAGAATGCAGCAGAAGTCTAGGTTGTAGAATCAAATTAGATTTGGATTCAGGCCTGGTCACTGCACAGATTTTGGTAAAAACAACAGTTGTTCAGTCTGTTTTCTCATCTGCAAAAAGTGAACTGTTTCCTCATTTGCAAAATGTGGACAGTTATCTCCACTTCATAAAGCAGTACTGGTGAAATGATATGCATATGAAGTGTTTAGTACCCAGAAAATTGAGGCTACAATTTAAAATAATATTAAGTAAGTTATAAATTTGCAGATTTGGTTCTTCTTAATAATGCTTAGATTTTAGCATAGATCTATTTCTAAATTTAGTAAATGTATCACTTATTTCAGTTTTCTTTCCTTTCCTCTCAGCATGTTGTAATTATTTGAGCAGCTGTGTTACTTAAGAGTTCACCACATTATTTCTCGTAAAAGTTCCTTTTCTTTTAAAAAAAAGTATTTTGAGTATTTTGGAAGGTGAATGCTTAGAGCATTTGGTCCAGCTAAGCAGGGTAACAGAGATGATGTTGTTTGTTCTTTTTGTTTTCTGACACTGTGCTGAGCTCTTTGTCTTATCTGGATAAAAGACCATGGCATTCACTTGATAAACACTTAGAGAGCTTTATCAGGCCTCAGCGTTAACTCTCCTGTTAGCTTCTTAAATGGCCTTGACCTTCTGCTCTTTCCGTGATGCTGCCTTACCTTTCTCAAGCAGGCACAAAGATGCAGGGAATAAATGAAGACTGGTATCACTTCTTAACCACTGGTGTGTTCTAATATACTGTGCTTTATATCAAATAATAGCAATGTATTTTAACTGCAATTATGAGGGTCACACTAGATGATTTTAAAAGCCCCTCCCCTTCCCTGACTTCTAAACTCCAGAATGTTCAGATACTGGTACTTTCAGGAAAAGCCTCTAGGAACTCCCTTTTAGGGAATTTCTGTAGGACTGCTTCCTGCATTGGGGAACACAGGATTTGGTTTACTAAGTACGCATAAATCAGAGAAAATACTATTATGAAAAACCGTTTTCTCCTCCCTCTAAAGTTCATACTAACTGTATTAGTCAGCTTTTCATTGACAACCAAAATACCTGACAAGAACAACTCAGAACAGGAAAAGTTTATTTTGACTCATGATTTCAGAGATAATGTCCATGGTCAGCCATTCCACTGTTCTGGGAAGGAAGTAGCAGAAGGAAGCTGCTGACCTCAAGGCAGCTAGGAACCCAAGAGAGGGGAGAAGGGGCTACAGGCAAGATGAATCAACCCTTCTAGGGCCAGTCATGCCCCACCTGCCGACAGTTACCACCCAGTTAGTTCATTCAAAGTAGGATGGACTGATTAGTTTATGGCTCTCAGAATACAATCATTTCACTTCCAAACATTCCTGTATGAACACAGGTGCTTTGGGGAGATACCTCATATCCAAACCAATAAAGAGCTATCAGAAATCACTCCAGAAAAAACATCATAATAGAATGTAATAAAAACCCTCACAACTGGTCCCAGGACCAAGGCACACTTCCAAGTGAGAGATTTCAGGTGAGGTATTTTAGAGTCTAGGGAATCTAAGCTAACCATACCTAGATAAATTATTAAAGGAAACATGTTCTCGAGGTTCTTCTCCAAGAAAATAATTAACCCACCTTTCCATCAATGCACCTTACTGTTTTTGGCAGCAACGTGCTGGGCTGGATCTTTACTTTGGTATCATACAGATCTGAGGTTCTATAGTATCTCAAACTGGTTGCAAGTGGAACAGTCAAAATAATCCTAATAACCATCTCCCCATTCTGGTTTGACTTGTCTGGGGTGCTTGGCCCTCTGGAACTTTAAAAATCTCATATGATTCGCATGTGTAGCCAGCACTGCAAATTATTGGCTGTTTTTAAAGTTACGTAACAAAATTTCCTCTTAAAACCCACCATCTTACCATTTAGCCTTCTGGTTACTGCTTATAGTCTCTCCCCACTCCCCGCCAAACACACACAGGGTGGTGTATTTCACTCTACACTCAGACTAGAATCATCCCAAAGTGGAATTCAAGAGGTGTCCTTGGTAAACAAAGAGAACCAGGACAAAGAAAGTGATTTCCACCCAAATACCATAGAAACAAGGATCACTGCCTGTCATATTGCTCTCTAACTCATTTTCTTGGGTCATTTCCTACTTGAGGTTTTCAGATCATGGGGTGTCCTAGGAGGCGACACCCATCGTTATTTTTCCCACCCTCACGCTGGCATTTGACAGATCTCCCAGATGAAGCTACCAAATCCCAGGGCGTGCACTGTTTCTCCGCTGCCAAGGCCTCTGAATTCCACCGCACCTACCGCCCGGCTGGACAGCACTCAGGCGCGCCGAAGGTCCACTTAAATTAATTCAGATTCCGGGGGGGGTGGGGAGCCTGCGCCACCGGGACCCCTCCCTCTCCCGGGTCGCCCCAGGTTTTCTGTTTACTGGGGAAGCTGATATTTACTGGGTGGCAGCCCAAAGCGGGCCCCACCCAGCAGCGGAAAGAGAGGCCCCGCGTCAGGGCCCCGCAGCTCCGCCCTGCGCCGGAACCGCCGCGCACCTACGCCCCTTGGGGGCGGTGACACGGCCACGCCCAGCCCCAGTCGCGGTCCCCGCGCCTCAGCCGCTGGCGTCACGGAGCCCGAGCTCCGCCCAAGGTGTTAAATTAACTCCTCTGGGCGCCGCGTTCCGCGCTGCCGCTCCTGACTTTCGCGCCGACTCGGCTTCCTGGTTGCGGACGCAGCGGAGTCGCGGCACCGGGCGTCGGTCCCGCGCGCCATGAGCTCCGCGCGGCCGAGCGTGCTGCCCGCAGTGCTGCGCCTGCTGTCCCTGCTGCTGCTGCTGCAGCTGCCGACTCCACCGGGTGTCCGGGGTGAGTGGGGCCCGGGAGCCGCCGGAGCCCGCTAAGCTTGTCGGGTGTGGGGGAGCGCTCAGGTCTGTCCCGGTGACTGCGCCGAGGGGCTGCGGACCCGGAAGGGAGGCTGTGGTCCTTGTGTAGTCATTGTTCGGTCACCCTCCACCTTGAGACTCAAGACTTCAGACTTCAGACTCAGGGCTCCTGCTGACTTGATCCCCGGGTGGGAAGAGCCGTGGTGCCGGCTCCCGGCTGGCTTGGCTTTGGGGACAGGTGTGAAGGGTTGAGGAAGTACAAGCTGGCTTTCAGGAGCAGCCAAACCTGGGGCAACTGAAAGGACTTTCAGAGCATGCATTTTCAACCCCCCCAGCAAGTCCGCTCTTCAAGGGTGGGAGGCCAAGGAGCTGTCCACTTATGCCTGTGACACAGCCCTGTGCACTTGTGTCTCTTGCTGGGTGTGCCTGGCAACAGCATCAACGTGGACTCACAGTAAATTCCAAACCACTTTTTTTTTTTTTTTTAAGTAAGAAGGAGGGGTTATTTGCTCTCAACTTTAGTCTTGAATTAATTGACAAGACGTTAGACCTATCAAGTTCTTGGTATGCCAGTTCAGCTTTGGCCAGAAGTAGAGGTTTCTCAGAAGCCATGGACTCTTGGAAAAGCCAGGAACTCTTGGAAAAGAATATTGCTGGGAACTGAAAAGGAGTATTTCCTTAAGGTCTGCTTCTTCCTCTCTAGGTGACTGCGGCCTTCCGCCAGAAGTGCCTAATGCCCAGCCAACTCTTGAAGGGAGTACCAGTTTTCCTGAGAAAACCACAATAACATATAAATGCAACGAAGGCTTTGTCAAAATTCCTGGGAAGACAGACTCAGTGGTCTGTCTTTCCAACAATCAATGGTCAGAGTTTATAGAATTCTGTAATCGTAAGTTCTTCATTTCATTTTAGAAAAGTTATGGGAATGGAATGTGTCTTGTTCAGTGTACTATTATATCTCTTTGGAGTGACTGGTAATTGATAGTTTTCTAGCATTATTAAACCCCAGTGTATACTGTGTTGGCATTTCACACACCAGCTAATTGAAGGCATTACTTCCCTGCTTCTTCATTAAGAGTTTTTTTTTTTTTTTCCCTAACACTGCACCTCCCAAATGGGCTAATAGAGAAAGTAAACAATAGGTACTGTTTAGGGAGTAAATTATATGTGAATATATTTGGCAGTTACCTTGAGATGCATACCTAGGTGTTCTGTTTTCTTAAATTTCATTTTGTTAAGTAGGACTTAGCAAGTATAGCTCTGAAGTGACATTTTAAACTCTCTAAATTTATTTCCAAATCTATTACATACATAACCCTGTATTAGCCTTGAGATAGTCATGTGTCCCTTAATGATGGAGTTATGTTCTGAGAAATGTGTCTTTGGGCGATTTTGTTATCTGAACTACATGGACTGTACTTACGCAAACCTTAATAATACAGCTACTACACACCTGGGCTATATAGTGTAGCCTGTTAGTCCTAGGTGCAAACCTGATAGCATGTTACTATACTGAATACTGTAGGGAACTGTAGTACAGTGTGTGTGTGTGTGTGTGTGTGTCTAGACATATCCTAACATAGAAAACATGCAGTAAAAATTAAAATTGGTGCACCTGTGTAGGGTTCTTACCATGAATGGAACTTGCAGGACAGGAGGTTGCTCTGGGTGAGTTAGTGAGTGAGTAGTGAGTGAATGTGAGTCTTAGGACATTATTATCCCACTACTGAAGACTTTTTAAATTCTGTACACTTAAGACTATGATAAATTTATAAAAAAAAAAACCCCTTCAATAATCAATTTACCTTGGCTTACTGTAACTTCTTTATAAACTTTTTAATTTTTTTAACATCAGGATCTCTATGTGTTGCGTAGGCTGACCCCCAGACTCCTGATCTCAAATGATCCTTCTGTCTCAGACGCTTTAGTAGATAGGACTACAGGCATGTGCCACTATGTCCAGCTTGATTTTTTTTTTTTTTAACTTTGACGCTTTTATAATAGCACTTAGCTTAAAACACAAACATCTTGTACAGCTGTACAAAATTACTTTTCCTTATTATCCTTTTTCTATATGCTTTTTCTATTTTTAAGATTATTAAATTTTTTACTTTTTAAAACTTTTTATGTTAAAAACTAAGACACAAACACATACATTAGCCCAGGCCTACACAGGGTCTGAATTATCAATATCACTATCTTTACCTTCATATCCTCTCCCAGTGGAAGGTCTTCAGGGGCAGTCACAGGCATGGAGCTATTATATCCTGTGATAAAAAAGAAAAGTAGAAAGAGTATACTTTAAAATAAAAATATAATATAGTAATACATAAACTAACAACAGTCATCAGTATCAAGTTTTATGTACTATGCATAATTACATTTGCTATAAATTTATGTGACTGACAACACAGGATATTTGTTTCCATCAGCGTCCCTGCAAACACATGCTGAATGATATTACATTATGATGGCTATGACATCACTAAGTGATAGGAAGTTTGGGGCTCTATTATAATCTTATGGGACCACTATTATATATGCAGTTCATGCTTGACTAAAAAAATCATTATGGAGTGCATGACTGTATACAAGCAAAGATTAAAAAAACAAACAAATACTTAATTCCTGCTTTTCAAAAACTTGGACCAATGGAAACTATAATAAATACAGAAACTGCCACAAATGTCTTTGAAACCATGTGTGAAATAGGCTCTAACTTTATATTTCTGTCTACTCCTGATAGAAGGTAGTAGGATGAAGCTTCCAAGCCTTTGCACGTGCTTTGTGTTTAGTTTATAACCCTTCCACACCTATTGCTTCACCTAATCCTCCAGACATCCCCATGACTTCAGCAGGGACCCTTATTCCTCTCTCACACTTGAGAAAACAAGCTCCCACAAGGTAAATAACCCCCTCAAGTCAGCATCTCTAATGCAAAAGAGCCAAAGTCAAGCTTGGAATTTTGGACTACTAATCCAGTGTCCCTTCCTTTACACCAAGCCTCTCTATAGGCTCACATTTGCCCAGCTGTTTACAGTTTGTGCATAATGTACACAATTGGCTCATCAGATCCTTGTTTAATATAAATTAAACGAATTTATATGTGCAAAACTAAGTGTTCAACGAATATTAGCTATTATTGTTGTTGTTCAGAACATTAGGCCAGGGGTCTGGAATATTTGTTATGTATCCCTGTACCTCATGTCATGGTGCTGTGTAATTCCTCAGGGCCATAGCAGGGTAACATTTATTGAGTCTTAGTACTGTGCCAGGAAACTTAAATGGGTTATATTTATGAAAAGTTGTGATAGTGATATTTATATATTAGATCTATTTCAAAGGCCTCTGGTTACTAGGAAATGAATGTATTTATGCAAACACCCTTGGTACACCACAAATGCTATAGTGACATTTTGTCAAATACCATGTACGTATAAAGAAGTAAAGGAAAGGGGAGGAATTTCCTCAAATAATTAAACATAGATTATAAAATAAGGTGATATGACTTTCTTGTTGTTGCTTTTGTTAATACTTTTAGGTAGCTGTGATGTTCCAACTAGGCTACTTTTTGCATCCCTCAAAAAGGATTATAATACGCAGAATTATTTCCCAGTTGGTTCCACTGTGGAATATGAGTGCCGACCTGGATACGCAAGGGACCCTTCTCAGTCTGTAAAACTAACTTGCCTTCAGAATTTAACATGGTCCAAAGCAGCTGAATTTTGTAAAAGTGAGTATAATTTTTAAAAGTGTTCTCACTTATCTGGTGTTGGGGGAAATAGCTCTTCATTTGTGCTGGAACTCTGGGTACATGTTGTTATTTAGAATAATTCTTAAAACTGTGAGAGTCATGTATTTTAAATTAAACAAACTAAATATTTATGTGTTAGGAGTACTTATTCACTCACAAATTTCACACTTCTTTAATGTGAGCTTCTAGATATGTTGCTTTTTTGAAACTTATCAAAAAAATGAAGGTAGAATTCAAGAACTCTAAGGATTAGATATAGCAGTGGTTTGGATGATAAATTTTGTGCCTGATCATTTTAAAAAATTCTAGTTTTACATTTTATACCTTTTACTACAGTAAAATTAACACATAAAAATTGTATGTATTCAAGGGATACAGTATGATGTTTTAATATACATATGTGTTATGAAATGATGACCACAATCAGTCTAATTAACATATCCACCACATGGTTATTTTTTATTGTGTGTGTCTGGGTAATTTAATGGAAAAAATTGTATTTTATTTTAGAAAAATCATGTCCTAATCCTGGAGAACTACGAAATGGTGATATCAATATCACAACTGGCCTATTTTATGGTTCACCCATCTTCTTCTCATGTAACACAGGGTAAGTTTTGTTATGCTGAAACTCTATGCTTAACAAATAAAGAACAAATTAGTACTTGACATGGAAATTGCTAGATTTGTGACCATTGTTCACAGACTGGTGGCAACCAAAACAACCTCTGTCCTCAAAGATTCTTTGCTATAAGCTCATTACAGTTAAACTTAGTAAAAGAGGTCAAGAAAGGAAATTTTATACCACAAACTTCTCTGAATTCTTAGATTTCATTAAATATGTGATTTAAAATAAAATTTTAAATGTGATTGCTAAAGGAAAAAAATTGAGATATGTGGATAATACTTAAAGAAGTCAGAAGTAGCAATTCTTCATGTATTAAATATGAAGCTAATTTTTAATTGATCTTAATAAGGAATTAGCACCCGAGTTTTTCCATATGCAAACAATTTATGAAATATCATGGGCTAAAAACATTTATCCCTAGTTTGAAAATATCCTTCTAATGTAAATTCTTTTCCTTTCTTTATGGAGGGAAAAAGGAATGTACTCATTGAGTACCATCAATGCCTTGAATGCAGCTGAAAACTTTACATTCATTTTCTTATTTACTATTTTCAGATTGAATTATGCTCCCTCTTATGTGCACACTCTGTCCCTCTCCCCCCCCACCTATAGTTTTTGTTGTTTTTTATTTTTTTTTAAGTACTGAGAATTGAACTCAGGGGCACTCTACCACTGAGCCATATCCCCAGCCCTATTTTGTAATTTTCTTTAGAGATAGGGTCTCACTGAGTTGCTTAATGCCTCACCATGCTGAGGCTGGCTTAGAACTTGTAATCCTCCTGCCTCAGCCTCCTGAGCTGCTGGTATTACAGGCCTGAACCACCACAGTTTATAAAATAAAGAGTCTTTATAAAGTAAAATAAAAATAGCAGTTTTATTTGTCTATTAAATACAGATGTTAGTTGGGTCATTAAAATCTGAGAAGTACTTTGAACCCTTTAACAATAAATGCTTCCATTAGTTCATGAAATCTGTATTGATCTTTTGGAACTTAGAAATATAAAATGTTTAGTCATCTATGTCATTTAAAAGAGTTTTCTACATTTTGTGTTTTCTAATATATGCCCCTTGCAAATAAAAAATGTTCTATGTGTCCTACACTTTTTTTTTACCCTTTGGATATCTTATAAGTGATATCTTATAACTTAGTTTTTTCTTTTCCTTTAAACTGCCCTGTGGACTTATATCAATATTGTTTTGTCTCCATCTACTGGTGTAATAAATAATTTCAAAATGATATTCTAGAGAATCTGAGAGAAGCTAAGTATATGTGGATATATCTTAATTTTTTTCTCCCCTTTTTGTTCTAGGTATAGATTAGTTGGCGCATCTTCTAGTTACTGTACTCTTTTTGACAGAACTCTTAAATGGAGTGAACCATTGCCAGAGTGCGTAGGTAAATCTTTTTTAAAAATCTAAGCAGTCTGTTTTTAGAGTTGAATAATAATGATAAATTACTTCTGCTCGTTAAGAATTATCTACAGTGTATATTTCTGGTATCCTTATCTTTCAATGGGTATCATTGCTAATTGAAAGACCTTCTCTAGTGATATTTCTTACTTTATTAGCTGTGGGAATAAACTATCAAGCTTCTCTGAGTTTCAGTATTCTTAACTATAGAATGGGAATTAAAAACAAACTTAGGTTTGCATTGTACTTGATCATTTATTATGTAACCATTCCTTCTGAGAGTCAAGTAAGATAGTAGATTTTCCCCCTGCAATTTTATGGAAAGAAATACTGTCAATCAGAGTATGTATGCCTTGACCCCATATTCTAAAGCAAGTGGCAGTAGAATGCATTTAACCCCCTCTTCAGATCTGTAATTTTTCTAAGACTCAGTGTTGCCTACATGTACTCTTAATTTAGGATTATAATTATCAGCTAATAATTACCTAGAAGTATTTTAATATATTCTATGTTTTAATCATTAAAGAAGGTAGGTTGTATAATAAAACAAATGTAGTTTTTGCACTTGAGAATCTTACTTTCTCAGAGTGAAGATGGGGCACAGAAATAATATCAAAAGTGGATATAGCTGGGTGCAGTGGCACATGCCTATAGTCCCAGCAGCTCAGGAGGATCACAAGTTCAAAGCCAGCCTCAGCAAAAAGCAAGGCGCTAAGCAACTCAGTGAGCCTATCTCTAAATAAAATACAAAATAGGGGTAGGGAGTTAGCTCAGTGGTTGAGTGCCCCTGAGTTCAATCCCTGGTACCCATCCTATTCACCCCCCGCAAAATGGATCTATCCAGGTAAATACTTTGCCAGTAGAGACACATATTCTGAATAATGAGAGAAGTAAATTATTTGTAATTTATTTATCTATTTTTCAGTACTTGGTATGTAACCAAAGGCCTTGCACATGCTAGGCAAGCTCTCTACAACACAGTTACACCAATAGCATGCAAACCTTTTAAATGTAATCTTTATTCTTCCCACCCTTCTCTGTTTCTACACCTAACTTACTCTTCTGCAAATGACTTCTGAAAATTCTGTTGCAAAATTATTATTTAGTTCATTTTTTTGTATAATAGTTATTAAGAACAGGAATTGAGTATATTGAATATAATTTATCAAGTATTAATTGACTGAACACTCTATGGTAAGTGATGTGTAGTCAAACAAATAAAAGGAATCCTTAACATCAAGGAACCCATTTCAGTCTTACCCACCATGTGCTCTCATTTCAAGGTCTACTACTTTTTTCTCCTTAGAATTATTTTAAAATTTTAATCATTACTACCCATTGCCATTCTTCCTATTTTCTTTGTCTGGTAAAGATACTATAAACAACACTAAATTTAAAATGGAAAGGAAGAAGGAGCTGACCCAGGCAAGGAGTCCCGGAGCCTGGATGAGCAGTCTCCCAATCCAAGGCCAGTATTTTTCAAAAGCAACTAATACCATGAGTTTCACAGAAATGTAGCCATCAAGCATATATTCTAGCATAGAAGAGCTTTTGCACCACAAGCCTGTTTTCTCTTCGTGCTGCCATGTGTGGGCACAGTCCCATTCTCTCTGTTTGAAGCCTTGCCTCTATTGTAGATATCCTGATGTCTGTACTTCCCTTCTTGTCTCTTCTCCATCTCTCCAAGTCAGCTACTCTCGTGTCCACATCCTTCAGGAAAGCAATCCAGTAACATATCCAAGTCATGTTCACTATGACCCTTAGCCCAACTCTCTACCTATGAGGCCCTGCTTTTAAGATCTAGTACTGATTTAGCACATAGTTTACTTTTTGTTTTGACAATACTAAAAAAGATTGAGTGGAAATTAACTTCTTAAACAAGGAGCTGCTTCCCATCAAGTATGCAGCCCTGGTCTATAGACACATCAGTTTACATTGGTGTCCCTGGATGGATATTGATATGGAGATATGAAGAAGGAAGAGCAATGAACACTTTGAAGAATTATCCTTAATTATACGTTCAATTTTATTTTTGAATGAAGCCTCACTGACAGAAGGATCTCTTTTCCCTCTCTGCCAGTGTTTTCTTTTTCAAAATTGCTTTCAGTTGACTGCCGGTATCTGCTAGCATGCACTCAACCCTTCCTATGCAATAACTATCTTCCCAGATCCCTCTCTCAACTCCCCACATGTAATCACTAGGTCATCTTGCTTTATTTCTTCTATATACTTTTCAAACCTGTGTTTCAACTCCATCTCTGTCACTTCTAACAGTTTATTATTCCTTGCCTGGGGTATTGCAGTGAGGGCAGTCCCTAACATTTTCAGGTCCCAGGCTAGACTATAAATGGAGATCCCTGAGGGAAACCTGGAAGGGATATTGGCATAGGGAATTCTGGGTACTAGTTCCTGAATCATGTTCTAGAAAGGAGGAAGAAGTGGTGTGATAGGCTTTCACTGAGCATATCTTCTCAGTCCTACAAATATCCCTACTGGTGGGAGAGAAGCATTCACCATAGAGCTAGCACAGAGCCTTCAAAGTGTGAAGCCTGGGGCAGAACTCTCAGTTGACCGAGTTCTATTGATGATACTGATAGTAATGGCCTCCCACCTCCATTCCTGTACCCCATTGTACATTTCATCCATAGTCTAACTAGAATGACCTATTGGGAACATAAATACGTCTCCTTCTTAAACTTATTGGTATATCTCATCATTTACAAAGTCTGAACTCCTTAGTATGGCGAGGTCTACTTGTCCACACTCATGCTTCATCCTCATGTTTTATGCTCAGCCCATGCAAACTGTTTGTACTTTTCCATATACCTTACAGTTCTTTGTGCCTCTACTTATTCCTTAAGTTGCTGCTTCCACCTGGAATGTCCTTCAGCCCCTCTTGTGCTTGGCTGCTGTTTTCCTAATCAAGAGTCTGTCCTATAGTCCTTCAGGAAGACTTCCCAGGCTGATGAACAACTTTCTTCACTCTTTCCATACCACCTGCATACTTCTGTGATAACCCTTACATTTTATTTTGAAGTTATCCCTTTGACTCTCCTGTGACACCTAATTTGGTGTCAGTCAAAATAGCTTGTTCTTGGGCTGGGGCTGTAGCTCAGTGTTAGAGCGCTTGCCTTGCACGTGTGAAGCACTGGGTTCGATCATCAGCACTAGATTAAAAATAATAATAATAATAATAATAAAGATATTGTGTCTAAAAATTTTTTTAAAAAAACAGCTTGTTCTTGCTTTGCTTGATAGCCTTAAAGATCTTTATAAATTTGTCAGTATTCTATGGATACTTAAGTCCATCCTGAATAATTTAATTTGTTGCGCATATGTAATTATATTGCTTTCCTGCTTAAAAAAACTTCATGCTCTAAAAATATATGGAACCATTGAACTTTTTATTCAGGGTAGCTGCCAGAAAGAGGCCTCTTCTTTTGTTGGGGGGTGGGGGATATCAGGATTTGAACTTAAGGGCACTCTACCACTGAATCACATCCCCAGCCCTATTTTGTATTTTATTTAGAGACAGGGTCTCACTGAGTTGCTTAGCTCCTTGCTTTTTTTTTTTTTTTAATTTTTTTATTGTTGGTTGTTCAAAACATTACATAGTTCTTGATATATCATATTTCACACTTTGATTCAAGTGGGTTATGAACTCCCATTTTTACCCCATATACTTGGGTTTGAGCTTGTGATCCTCCTGCCTCAGTCTCTCAAGCCACTCGGATTACAGGCCTTTGTCACCTGTATTATAGGCTTGTGCCACCTAGACAGCAGGGAGAGGCCTCTTTTTACAACATAATTAGAGCAGTTCTGCTTGTATTTGTTTACAAATTCAGCTGCTCAATAAGATTTTTTTTTTTTAATTTTTGTTGTTGGTTATTCAAAACATTACATAGTTCTTGATATATCATATTTCACACTTTGATTCAAGTGGGTTATGAACTCCCATTTTTACCCCGTATACAGATTGCAGAATCACATCAGTTACACATCCATTGATTTACATATTGCCATACTAGTGTCTGTTGTATTCTGCTGCCTTTCCTATCCTCTACTATCCCCCCTCCCCTCCCCTCCCCTCCCCTCTTCTCTCTCTACCCCCTCTACTGTCATTCATTTCTCCCCCTTGTATTATTTTTCCCTTTCCCCTCACTTCCTCTTGTATGTAATTTTGTATAACCCTGAGGGTCTCCTTCCATTTCCATGCAATTTCCCTTCTCTCTCCCTTTCCCTCCCACCTCTCATCCCTGTTTAATGTTAATCTTCTTCTCATGCTCTTCATCCCTACTCTGTTCCCAGTTACTCTCCTCATATCAAAGAAGACATTTGGCATTTGTTTTATAGGGATTGGCTAGCTTACTTAGCATAATCTGCTCTAATGCCATCCATTTCCCTGCAAATTCTATGATTTTGTCATTTTTTAATGCAGAGTAATACTCCATTGTGTATAAATGCCACATTTTTTTTATCCATTCGTCTATTGAAGGGCATCTAGGTTGGTTCCACAGTCTTGCTATTGTGAATTGTGCTGCTATGAACATCGATGTAGCAGTGTCCCTGTAGCATGCTCTTTTTAGGTCTTTAGGGAATAGACCGAGAAGGGGAATAGCTGGGTCAAATGGTGGTTCCATTCCCAGCTTTCCAAGAAATCTCCATACTGCTTTCCAAATTGGCTGCACCAATTTGCAGTCCCACCAGCAATGTACAAGTGTACCCTTTTCCCCACATCCTCGCCAGCACTTGTTGTTGTTTGACTTCCTAATGGCTGCCAATCTTACTGGAGTGAGATGGTATCTTAGGGTGGTTTTGATTTGCATTTCTCTGACTGCTAGAGATGGTGAGCATTTTTTCATGTACTTGTTGATTGATTGTATGTCCTCCTCTTGAGAAATGTCTGTTCAGGTCCTTGGCCCATTTGTTGATTGGGTTATTTGTTATCTTATGCATGGTAGACAGATCACCCCAATTGGAGGAGGAGCACAGCTGCCGCCCGCCCCTGCAAGGGAGACTTTTCAACTATGCTCAATAAGATTTATCTTGAGTCTCTGCGAGTTACTACATACTAAAAATTTTTGCTCTAGAAGTGAAAATATTGTCCTGACACTTAAGATCTTTTACTCTATTCAAAATGATCTGTATATATTTCTGAATTCTCAACTCCTTTCATTTATTGCCATTCCCCTGGAATGAAGAGCTATGCTGTCTTTCCTGTCTTGGAAGAAGGGAACATTTTAGGATTAAACTCAAGTTCCATTTCCTCCCTAAAGTTATTTCCAACTGCCCTATTTTTGACTCTAACATCCTGTGGCATTGACTTTTTCAAGCCTTGGTTTGATGTGTGGCACATACAAACATTATTGGAATTTTGGGTTTACATGTGTCTTAAATCTAATTATTTCTATAAATTCATCTCAAGATTAACATTCATGTTCTATAATACTTGCATTTAGAGCTCCAGATATTCTACCCATTACTTAATAGACATGTACAAGCATCCTTTGTTGATAATGCTGAACTTGTAGGGGGTGGAGGCAGCCAGAGGCTTGACTATGGGGATTTCAATAGATTACCTTTGGTCTCCTGCCCATATTATCCACATGTGTAGTCAAAAGAGAGAATGGCGATGAAGCAAAAAGAAATGAATTTATTCACAGTTTGATCCAAAGCCAAAATAGTATAGAATTTGTATAGTGAACAAAAGCCAAGAACTATTGTTGTAAGTCTGGTTTGTAAATCCTGCTCATCTTCTGGTTCCCTAGTGTGGGGCTGGGGGCAATTTCCATTCTCGGCATGATATGCAGCTTGGCAAGGTGTGTGTGTGTGGGGGGGGGGGGGGACAATTAAATGTACTTAACCTGTACTTAAAAGGTACAAGCTGGGTGCTTCTTCTAGATCTTTTAATTTTAAAGATGGTCCTTTTACAAACTGAGAAAATGATATATTTTGATTTTTAAAAAATCATGTTTTAGTTTTTATTTGTAAAAGTACCTTGCTAGTTATATTTTTTTTAAAAAAATTTGTAATTCTTTTTAAGAAATTTACTGTCCAGAACCAACCCAAATTGACAATGGCTATATTCAAGAGGAACACGAAGTTTATGTATATAGACAGTCTATAACATATGGATGTAATAAAGGATTCACCCTGGTTGGAGAGAGCTCCATTTATTGTACTGTCAAAGAAAACGAAGGAGAATGGAGTGACCTGCCACCTCAGTGCATAGGTAATCAGTTCACAATAGTTATATTTTTGTTTATTCTTACCCTTAGGCCTATATGTGGGCTATAAAGATTCTATGAACTCTCTTGAGAAATAAATGTAAAATCATATATAAATATATATATTGCATATTTTCACTTTTCTGTGGGACAGTTTTTTCATCCAATTGTCAGAGGGGACTGTGACTTCTATACACAGACAAAAAGAATATAAAATATAAAAGCCTAAGAGACATTTGAAATATGTTAAAATTCTAACTGAGGTTAGAAAGAGAGGAGAGAGCTAGAAAGAGAAAAAAGAAGAATGAAGAGGGGAAGGAGAGGAAGTTGGAAGAGAAAGGGAAGGGATGAAGGCAAGATATTGAAGAAGATAATGACCGAGAATTTTCTATAACTATGAAATACACCAGGCACTGATTACTCACTTCTCAGCAAAAAGAATGCAGCCCAAAAGACAATGAAAAGAAAACTGTAAAATACTAAAAGAAAATGACTGTTCACCTAGAGTTCTGTACCCAGTGAATTTATCTTTCAAAACTACAAACAAGATATATTCAGACAAAAACTGAGGGAACTTGTCAATGGCATACCAGACCTTATGAAAACTAAAGGAAATTTTTAAGTAGGATGAAAATAATCCCATGTCATACATGAACATGCAAGAAGAAATTAAGAACACTGACAATGGGTAATGAACACTGACTTCATGAGGGAGTAAAATACTGTGTCTTGTGGGATTTGAATTATATGTAGAATATAATAGAAATAGAACCTCCAACAGAAATAAGGAAGAGGAAGTAAATTCAGTGTAAATGTTCCAAAGTTCTAGATGTACTGAAGGGGAAAGTAATTAATTTTCCTAGTTGGCTTATAGTCTAATGCTAATTGCTAGAGTTGCCACCAAAGAATTCTAAAAGAATGTGTATATCACAAGCATAAAGGAAGGATATTATTTAATCCTGAAGAAAATGAGAGGAAAGGAAACAAATGTAAAATAGATAGTGGTTGAAACCTAAATTCATCAGTAATTGTATTAATTGTAATTTGACTAAGATTGTCAGACTCAAAATAAAACCTAACTATTTACTGTTTACAGGAGACATAGTTGAATGATAAGACAATAAATTGATTGAAAACAATGGGAAATGTACTATACAAACATTAACAAAAATGGTGCAGTTCTGTTAATATCAATGAGTACCTGAAGATAGGACAGTTCATAATAAAGGAATCAATTTGGGAAATCTGCAATTCACAATCTAAAATATGTATGCATTTGAAAAATAGTTTCAATTGAAAAGGACAAGAATGGACAGGAAAAAAATAGACAAATCCACAATCACAGTTGGAAAATTCTACATACTGTTTTGGTAGCTAATAGAATGAACAACAAAAATCACTGAGAATATGGAAGATCTGAGCAATAGTTGAGCTTAAATTTATGTGTAAGAATATGGGATCCTCAATGACAGATGGCCCATTTTTTTCAAGTGCGCATGAGACCTACACCAAAATTGACCATATGCTAGGCTTGAAACTTAAATGGATTTCAGAAGATTGAAGTTATTCAGAGCATGCATTCCTGAACACAGTGGAATTAAATTACGCATCAATAACAAAAAATAAATAAATTTTCAGGAAATATAACTCCTTTGGTAGTATATAAGTCCTCTGAATCAAAAATAAAAATTAATTCAGTGGAACAAAGAGTACTTTTTATACACAAGGGTTTTAAAATGAAAAGTCCATATGAAAACCTTATTTACTCCAATGATGGTGACATTATTTGAGTGCTGCTAAGTGCTGTGTTCCTTGCTAGGTTTATTTTATTGACTTGTCCCTTATGTCATCCTGTGATAAAGGTAAAGGAAACAAACAAACAAACAAATAACATACCATCTGAGTACCCAGAATACTGGGTGTGTGATGGGGGTGGCTGTGGTACTGGCTAATACACCCTGTTGCTTTGGGGACACAGCTGTGTGAAGCAATTTACCAAGTCATTTCCATTCATCTTTACAATGATGTCATGCAATCTACATTAGGTTTTTTGTTTTTGTCTTCATTTTTTATTAATTTATTTTTAAAAATTGACATAATAATTGTACAATTGCACGGAGTACAGTGTGATGTTTCAATACATATACAACTGTGCAATGATCAAATCAGAATAATTAGCATCAATCTGTTCTGATTTTCTCCTCAGTTTACAGAGGAGAAAAGCAAAGCTTAGAGGGATTAGAGAACAAAGGATTAGACCCTTGGCATGTGGTAGAACAAGCCTCTGGCACTGTCTGCACAGCAAGTCTGTATAAGCAACCCAGACATTGCCATTTTGTTATTTGTGGTTCTAAGAATATGTCTTTAATGGAAGTTTTGTAATAATTGTTCTTTGGCCTGAAATCTGAAGAGGAACTAAACAGATACATAGAGTTGGTAACTGGTACAAGAGGAAAAGGGAATTATTTTTACTCAGGCCTATGAATTACTTAACAAAGAAGTGAAATAGGTTTCCAGGATAACTAACATGTCCTGAAAGCACTGGAAAAAGCAACAGTGCTGTGACTGTCTACAGCAGTTCAGTGATAGCATCCTGTTGTTCCTTGGTCCTGGCATACGGGAAGGAAGACAGTTTTGGAGAGAAAATAAAGATAATTGAGAATAAGATCACCACCGACTCCAAATTTGGTTTCCTTTTTCTTCTTTCCCCACACGGAAAAGTTTGAGAACCTCAATATGACCTTAATATAAATCTGTTTTAGTCACCTATAGGTGTAATTAATATCAGAAGCAAAAACAATGTATTATTTTAACTCCTTGCCATATACAGTAAGACTAGATTTCCCAAAAAGTCAGTCTAGGTTTTTGGTGGGGACAGAAAGCCTACAGAACAAGCAATGGCTAAGAAAGTTTCACTGGGAAAGCAATATTTTGCTAATTTTTTTTCTTAACATTTTTCCTCCACAGGAAAATCCTCAGGTTCCAAGCCTTCACCGACAGCTCAGAAGCCCACCACAGTCAGTGTACCAGGTACAAGAGCCCCACCAACACCACAGAAACCCACCACAGTAAATATTCCAGCTACAAGAGCCCCACCAACACCCGAGAAGCCCACCACAACCAGTGTACCAGGTACAAAGGCCTCATCAAAACCTCAGAAAACCACCACAGTAAATATTCCAGCTACAAGAGCCTCACCAACACCTCAGAAGCCCACCATAGTCAATGCACCAGGTACAAGAGCCCCACCAACACCTCAGAAGCTCACCACAGTCGATGCACCAGGTACAAGAGCCCTACCAACACCACAGAAACCTACCACAGTAAATATTCCAACTACAAGAACTCCACCAACATCTCAGAAGCCTACCACCATAACTGTTCCAGATACAAAAGCCCCAACACCTCAGAAGCCCACCACAGTAAATGCTGCAGATACAAGAGCCCCACCAACTCCCCAGAAACCCACCACAGTAAATGCTCCAGATACAAGAGCCCCACCAACACCTCAGAAGCCCACCACAGTAAATGCTGCAGATACAAGAGCCCCACCAACTCCTCAGAAGCCCACCACAGTAAATGCTCCAGATACAGAAGTCCCACCAACTCCTCAGAAACCCACCACAGTAAATGTTCCAGATACAAGATTCCCAACACATCAAAAGCCCACTACAGTAAATATCCCAGCCTCAGAGGCCCCATTAACTTCTCAAAAACTTACCACAGCAAATAATTCAACCACAAAGACCCCAGCAACAGCTCAGACATCCACTATATCAAATGCTTTACCTACAAAGACCTCACCAGCTGCCCAGACTCTCCTCATGGCTAATGCTTTTGCTACACAGACCACAACAACCACTCAAAAAGTCTCCACCACAAAAGCTTCATTTACACAGCGTTTTCCAGCAACACGAAAGTCCACTACTTTACATGTCCCAGTGACCCAGGGTCTCAAAAGTACAAAAAGATTCACCTCTGCTCGTATTACAGCAACACAGCGCCCACCTGTTCCCAAAGCAACCACGAGTTTTTATACAACAAGAGTAACGGAAGGAAAAGAAACTTCTCCTTCAGGTCAGTTGGTGCTGTTCTCAAATGTGATCTGATGCACTATGATGAAATGTGAAGCTGACCGAGATTGCAAGATTGAATAGTTTCCAATTTATTGTAGCCAGGCTTTTTCATAATAATGCTTTTGACTCATTCATAATCATTGATGAATATAAATAATAAGATGACGAGTTTTGTTAGAATCTGCTGAAAGGAAGTTAGGTTTCTCATAGTTTCTTGATGGTAAGATGGGTTTAGTTGTTATTTACTATTTGATCTTTTCAAACTTGTTTCTTGCCATCTAGTTAGAGAACCAAATTTAGATGATTTTGTTTTAATATTCAATAGCTATCATAACTTTTTTTTATAATGTTGAATGTCAAACAGATATAGGCGCTGGTATTTATGTAACTTGATTAAGTAAATAATGTGTAATTTATAATTATTTTACTTACAAAGATTGAAGTTGCTTTTGAGCTTTCAAGTATATTTTATTAATAGCTATGTACAGATATTAAATCTCTAGCAAATCAGATAAAATTTAAAAATTTAAATTTTGTAAATATTTTTTTCTTCTTTTTTTTCAGGTGCTGTCAGTCTTATATATGGTAAGTTTGGCTCCCAGACAGTTAAAAGAAATTGCCATCACTGTGGGATGTACAACCCATATTCCTGGAAGAGAATATTACCTTTTAACTGTCTTAGAAAAACTATCAAAATGCAGTGTTTATGGGTACCTAAGAGAAAATGGGTAAATGCATTTTATCAACATGTTGTGTGGACACCATTAGGTACTCGATATGTTCCTGTGTATTCCAAGTCATGCTCTTGTTCCAAGGTAATTTTAAGACAACTTCAGATCACAAGGCCAATCAATCAAGTAGTATTGCGTGCCCACTGTCTCAGAGCCTCATTCTAGGAACTTACAAGATGGAGACAATTATAAATCAGTTTTATCCTCAAGTGTTTGACAATTGATCATAAATTACTTTTTTTTACCATTTCTAGATCTCTGTCCTATTCCAGATGAGACAAAAAGTGCTACCTTTGATAACATATTTGTCTTTTCCTCTTCTCTGTCATTTGAAGCAAAGTTCTTTTAAAAACTGTTCTGTTGCTGTGCAGACATGAGGCCAAAAACATCTGCGTTGCAGTTTATTCTGGCATTTGGTGCAGTATTTTCTTTGTATAGACATATTTGATGTTATACATTAACAAGAAAATCAATAAACTATAAAGATGGTAAGAGAAATGTTGTTAAGAAACAATACAGCTAGATTTATATACTGATAAGAATGTTCAATTGACAATACACTTTTATTTTAAAAAAGTGTTTATTTTTATATTATGTACTTTTTAGCAAAGTTCCCTGTCTTATATATGCATGAATTATCAAGGGACAATAAACCTGAAAACAGATATTTTGTTATTACTAGTATTGTTATTTTATACTGCAAATGCTGGAAGATTTAAAAAGCTAACCAATTTATCTTGAAAGATTCCAACAGTTGGAATTCTTTGTTTATTCTATATTTGAAATAGAAATAAATGTTTTCTAAATGAAAAAACAATCTCATGATTTAATGATTCACTGTTTACAAAAAAAATGATGAGTTTTATAGATGACTTTTTTTTTTTTTACTTGACCAAGGGCATTCAGTAAAAGTTTGAAGAGCTTATTTTTTTCTGTGAAGTTCTCAAGGTCTATAATCTGATTTATTTCCCAGGAAACTCTATTCAAGATTGGATGTAATTCCAGCTTGTGTTAAAAAATAAAAAGGAGCTCCTTCTTTCTTGACCCAGACATACAGCAACATGTGTGTGTGTGTGTGTGTGTGTGTGTGAGTGTGTGAGAGAGAGAGAGAGAGATGTCTTGGAAGACATAATCCTGATAATTATTTTATTTCTCAGATTAATGTGGTGAATCATTTTAAAGATAAGTAAACTGTGTTGCAAAGAAATTGCTTTTGATTATACTGCAATGTAAGTAAATGATGCAGATGATAGAACTTGGGAAATAGTTGATTTTTGTTTTCTATTTAATTGCACTATTGAATCTTCATAGTATTTCCTAATTGCCTTGCAAATGACACTGGCACTATGAATTTTAAAAAATATTCTTCTACTGGATCTGTTATCAATGGTTCTCAATATGTATTTATTCTTTCCTTTTTTCTACCAAGGACCTGTTTAGATGCACACCCACATCATCATCCTCCATGAGATTTTAATACTGTTCATTAAATCTATTTATATACTTTTCTATATAACTGTACTTTATACAGATAAAAACAGTAAGGTTTTTTTGTTTGTTTGTTTGTTTTTACCTATTTGGGATATCACCCCCATTGAGAATTCATGCTCTATATAGTTTTACTAGTTTTTGTGTTTGAAGACAGTATTATATAGAAAAAAGAAAAAGAGTTTGTGCTTTGTGCTTTGGATTCAGTCAGACCTTGGTCTGAATCTCTTTTTTTAATTTAGTAAATATTCAAAGCAAGTAATTAATCTCTCGGTTCCAGTTTTCTCATTTATGAGACAGAAATTATGATTTCTATAAAAAAGTCTTTGAAGCTTGATGTGATAATGGATTCGAAAAGTCTAAGCACAGTGCCAAAAGTTAAATGAGTATAGTTTCAAGAAATCATAACACTATGAATTTTTGATTCATGACAATTTTATCATTCCCTCTGGCCACACTGAAGAATAAAAGCAGTTTTTAATTCAAGTAATATTTGCATGTTTGCTATGTAGCCAGTACTGTACTGAGATTTTTATATGTGTTAATTTTCTTCTTAGAGTAGTTTTATAATGTAGCATTTTTATATTTTTCAGCTGATTAAACTGTAGTTTCACATAATTTATAACTTGTCCAAAGTCACAGAGATAAAAGGAAACTGTCCAGTGAAGGATAGCATTTCTTCCTAGTAATAGGACAAGAGCCTGCACAACTCAAATTAGACAAGGTAGCCTTGACTTTTTTACTAATATTGTTATATTTTCTCCTCTCATTGTGGAAATACCATATTGTGACATTCGTAAATTCTTTATGCTCAATTGAAAGAATATTAAAGAAAAAGAGACTACTTGGTGAAATACATATTTTTCTATATCCTTTATCATATACGTATTTACTTATCCTTTACATATCTACTTGACTATGGCGTGTATTCCCAATATTCAAATGTAGCCAAAATCTAAGTGTACTTGCAAGACTCTAACATCTTATGCAGTTATTTCAAATGAATAATTTGCTGATTCAAGAGTTACCACTGTCTTATTACATGTTCCTTCACCTGACATACTTCAGTTCCACTACAATAATTATTCATCCGTTACTCAGAGTTAAAAAGTCAGATAATATATAAGAAGTCAGATAATATAATAAAGTTTTTTGTGATTGCTGTCATCTGGAAAAGGAAGTGTGTGAATTTCTTTTATCTGAAAAATTTGAAGAACCACAGAGACCAAATCTAACAATCATGTCAAGACACATAAAGCGTCCATTTCGTGTTGCTCAGAGGCAGTAATGTTGAGAAAATTTATAAATGTGAAAATTTAATGTAACTGACTTTTCTGGATATCAGTATATATTCACCTACAAAATGAGAGTGAACTCCAAAATGCCTTCTAACTCATTATTCAGTTTATATTTGAACTACTGATGATCAAACATTTAAAAGTAAGCATGGTTGTGTTGAAACACTTTAGAATCCTCTAAAACCTGTTTAAAAAAAATTGTATTTGAGCACTGTGATACTTTATTTCTTTCTCTTTCAAAGAAGACAGGAGAAATAACATGCAGTATTTATTGTTGAACTTGTGACAATAGGAATCCATATACCAAATGCAAGTCATGTCTCCCATTTTTTCTTTAACTTGTCTTATATATCTACTGTGTGTCATTGTGAAGCTCCAATGAATATGCCGTTGTTGTTATTAATTGTGTTACCAAATTTTTTCCCCTCAAGGATTTGTTGCTGCTGCTATAATAATTGGTATCCTAATTCTAGTCAAAATTTTCTGGGACTATGGAAAATCAGGGTGAGCAGAAATTCTGATAATTTTTAAAAAATCTATTCTTGGCTATTGTTTTTCAGTAAAACTTAATACTGTATCAGTAGATAACTTGCTTAGCTTTATTGTATTTTTGGACATGTTGCCTCTTCATTCCTTCTGTCTGTAATTACTGTCCTGGAGAATAGATTTTGTGTCTTTCCCCCCCCCCCCCCCTATATTCTAGGACAGTAAACACATTACATAAGAAAATGATGGAAAGCAGTGTCTTACTTTGTGATGTCTTAAATCAATGGACCCTTTTTCTATTCAGTATAATTTATAATATCTGTATATTATACAGAAGGAAAGAAATCTAGGAAAAGTCAACTTCTCACATTCTTAAATTGCCTGTGATGAGGTGTTTTTCTGTACTGTGTATATTAGGTACCAATCTAACCCAAATCAACCCAGCAATTAAGAATGCAGGCCCTGGGTGTGACTGCTCACTTGGTCTGTCACTTATGATCTCTGTGACTGTGAGCAATTTAACCTCTCTGTGCCTCAATTTTTCATGTGCAAAGTATCATACCTACCTCATGGGATTGTAAAATGGATTACTTAAGTTGTCACCTGTAGAGGTTAGAACAAGTTGCTTGGCACATGATACACACTCAGATGTTAAAACAGCAACGGGACAAAAAAAAATCAGTATTATTCAAAACATCCAATCTGCACTGAATCCACATTTTAACTGTAAATGTCATGGTTGGCTCTGATGTATCCTGTAGACAGAGTGATTTAAATGTACCTGTTTTGTTTTAGGAATTTAACTGTTCAGAAATCTAATTGTGAAATTCATATAGGCCTGAGTTAGTTCTCAGTTGCTTGAATGCCTGTCCTTTCTTTTTTCATTAATTAATATAACAAGTACATTTTAATTTTCTTACTAAATTTCCTTTTTGGTTGACGTGGGCTATCTAGTTTTTGCCCTCTGTGACTTTTTCCTTTCTCCTTAAATTAACAATAGTATCTAAGCCTATTATAAGCTAAAGTATATGAACATTCTTTAAATAAGTGTTTCAACCTTTTGGTAAAAATATTTGGCTGGCAGGTCCTAGGGTCAAGGATGGAAAAGGTTAACAGTTTTTATAGGTACTTGTTTAGTATCAATTAAGAAGTCTAGGTACTACAATAGCAAGTGTATTAAGATATATCTTTTTCTAAATTTTAAGAATGTGGTTAGAGCCTAGCAAAAACTAGCAGATTCTTAGGCATGTAGAGTGAGTGAAGTTAGAATAGATGCCTGAACACAACTACTTTGGAAGAAATTCAGTCAATTCACCAACCTTATGTACTTATTCCAGCTCTATTTTTAGAGTGTTATAAATTTATTATGTTATAAATTATCAATTTATAAAGCATTATCAGTTTACCAAAGTTAGTGCCTTGGTGCTCCATGAGTCAGGAGAGGGTGGCAAGGGATGAGTTTACCAGCTTTCATCAGCATCTTTACATACTTTGGTAAAGCAATTTGCCATGATATTTTACTAGGATGAAAAATGCTGGAATATAGAAGCAGTATTTGTTATTGAATTATATTTGGGGATTTTTGCAGTAAACATAATTGCTTAATTTCTGAAACAGAGGGAATGTCATACAAACCCATAGCACTTGACCTTTCTTATGTACACTTAAAAACTAATCCACTCACCTTATTTTGAAAGTGTAAGCTGTCAAGGGTAAGAACTGACTTTATACATGCGGGTTATTCTCCAGATTTCATATTTATTTAATTAAAAATTTGAACTTCATTAGGACAGAGGATACAGTTAACTAATGTGAAAGTGATAATGTAACTGTATCTAATCATTTTTATATCTGTCTACCAGAGGGTTTGTTTACTTCTTTAAAAGTGTTGGGTTTTTACAATAAATTTTAGTGTAGGGATGGGAGAGTAAGCAAACGCCTGATTTTGTTCTTTGATTGAAATTTACATTATATAATTCAATTAGTTTTTTCCTTCTTTACTATCCAGCTCTTATAACACACATGAGAACAACAAAGCAGTCAATGTTATGTTTCATAATTTAAGTGAGACTGATGATACCTCAGAAGTCAGACATTCTGATAAATTATAAAAGGTATATATATATATACATATAGTTTAATAAAAGCACATTTCTGTGTCTTGTAAAATATCCTTCAAGACAGTGGGCTTAGGGTTTCTGCAGACTCTTAAAGGATAATAGAGTCTTAAGTCTCTATAATAGAGTCTTAAGTCTTTATTATTGCTAGAATTGTTTTTCTTTGTTGAACAAATGACTAACACTAACTCTGTCCTTACTGTGACGCACGTCATCCATTCTTGCATCAGCAGTATGCTCATCATCTCATCCTGAGTCGCACTCTGTTTATTGTACTGATTAGATGCTATGATGCCACAAATATTTGGGAAGGGAACAATGATACATTAAGGCTTAATAACAATGTTTTCATTATGACAGTTTGCATCATGAGATGATTGGCCTGTTCCATGTTTGTTTCTCCTGTTGCTTAGTGGCTTTTAGGCTGTCCAGTGTTTAAAAAACTTATGTGTTAAGATATTTTTTTACGAGTCATGCATATGGATCTTAAAAGACACCATTTGTCTTTACACAAAAATTACTTGATGTAAATGTACCTGTGAAATTTTCTGTGTATAAATCTAACGAATCTTTCCTCTACTTCACAGGTTGTCTGTAGGAGATAATCATTGATTTTTGGTATAAATGTATCTTAAATGACTCTAGCTTGGCTACTATTAATCTAAGAAACTAAAAATTGTCATATTTTAATCGTTGCTATAGCTATTAAATTACGCCTGCAGAAGTTATTCGTGCTTTTTAACTTACTAATTTTGCATTTGTTTTGTACCCCCAGTTAACCAACTCTTTTTGCTGCTTTATCACATAGAAACTAAAACTTAAGGTTTGTTATTAGTGAATGAGCCATTTTGATTGTAATTTTTTTTTCACTTTCAGGGCACACATGTATAACTTTGACAGTTTTGCTTGTGACGCTAGGAACCATTGGCTATCTGACTTAGCCAAAGAAGAGTTAAGAAGAAAGTGTACTCGTGTACACAGAATACTTGTAGTTTGTTAGAACGTTCTGGAGAAGTGGATACAATAAATGCAGTAATTCTCTATGTTTTACATGTTATTCTTGTGTTTAAGGTGTATTGGGAATGTTAACAAAGCAAGGACAAAAGAGTGTGTCTGGAATCACGTTCCCAGTATACCTAAGGCCTCTTGAGAATAGAACAACTCCCAGAATGGAGGGTGATCACTCCTGAAAGTGTAGAGATAGACTGGGAATGTGAAAAAAAGGAAATAACTGTTTGTTTTTGTTTTTTTCACTAGATGTGTTATTTTAATTTAATGAAAAGTAAAAAGTTAAAAATATTAATTGGCTAGCAAAAAACAAACAACAGAATCTAGTGTCTTCTAAACAGAATTGCCAAAAAGAGATGAATCACATTCTAAAATGATCTTGTTCTGTCAGAAATTTTCATCTCTACTTAGTCTATTACTTGTGAAATGATTAAACTGTAATTTTGTCCTGAGGACAAATATTTTGTTTTGTTTTCCCCAGTAAAAGAGAATTGTGAAAATTGTCTTCTTTGATTTAATATCTTTAAAAATACTCTGGAGATCTCATTGACATAAGATTCTATTATTTCTGAAATAAGGTGTTTATAGCGAATTGTAAATCTTATTCTTTTGTAATATAAGATTAATTTATTTATATTTATTTATGTTAGTGAACATTTTGGTTTCACATGTAAAACAAGAAAACAAGCTATGTAAAGAAAAATTTATTTTCCCTAAATAGAAATAAATAATTAATCACATTTTTGTCTCATGTAGTATTTGAAATTTATTTTCTTAAATGTGAATATTTTATTTCTCAATAAGAGATTATCTTCCTGCCTCCCAAAAGTAGTTTAGAATATTGTCTTTTGATTATCCTCGGGTGAATCATTTTCAGTTACTTTTAAATTGTACCATATTGTATTTTCTGGTTACTGGTATTTTCCTTTTAGTTTATTATTTGTTATTGGTTCACTTAGAGGCAACACATTAATTTCTGTGTTCTTAATCTGCTCTTGTCATTTGTTGATTACATTTTAAGTGTTTGACTAGACTAGAATGTGCATACAACTCTACTAACAAAGATTATGTTTGCTTCATCTATTTTGTCAATGGTAGTAAAAAACTTTAAGATAAATTCCACATGCTTCATGAAATTTCTCTGTAAATACTAAAATATAAATTTTTAATAATAAGGACATTCTCATTCCTAAATGACTCTAGTTTGGCCAGAGTCACAATTAACAATATTAATAATTACTTTCATTAGTTTCTAATATTACAAAATTCTTTATGCTCTTCTAACTGGGAATGGGCAAATATCTACCTACTGATTCATTCCTTTGTTAAATATGAGGGCCTGCTCTGCTATCCTGCAACAACCTGGTACTTCTTAGAGTAGCAAGGACAGCACTGGTTCAGTTATTCCAAATAATACCACAGAGCCTACTATGTGCAGGTTACCATCTGTTAGTCTTAGGGTTCCAAAGATAACCGCAGTGTCTGTCCTCAAGTTGCGTATAGTCTACCACAGGAAGAATAAGACTCTATTTACTGAGAAAAAATGCAGACTTGAGTTACAGCACATACCTTATAGAACACATTGGGTGCTTACGCTGCTATCTGTTAAGCAAATGAGTGGTGGGTAGGGTGGCACTCAAGACAGGGTGCTGAGCAAGAGAAGAACAAATGGAATTCTAATGACAGGACTGGGAATGACAGTGAAGCATAATAGAAGTAGGAAGGGCTTGGAAGAGGTTGTGAGTGTGTTGTACATTCACTGTAGGAGTAAAAACTATGAAACTTGTGACTCTTTATTGTGCTTGATCCAAATAAAAGAATCAATAGGAGCAGGTTTATAATATCAAGTATTTCAGATATTGAGGAATAGTGAACTTTGACTATATAATGCTTTGAATTAGCCTGTCTTACTAAGATAAGGGCAAAAGCTAAAAAAAAATAATAATAACATTGGAGGAAATAATAATTTGAGCATTAGGCATTTGGAGGAATACCAAGATATTCTTGTAGGATATATATTTAGAATCTGTTGCATAAAATCTAACAATTTTCTTTTGTCTCCAGGTAATTTGTGAGATTGCACTCTGATTGCGAAGGTTGTGTGACCTTTCCCTCTTGAAACTGATCCTTATTTGATCTAGCAAATTGCTCACCACAGAAATTTGGTATACCAATATGTAACCACTGTTATTACAAGTTGAGCATCCCTAATCTCAGAGTCCAAAAGCAAACACTCCATGTTGAGCATCAGCATGGTGTCACAAATGGAAAATTCCACACCTGACCTCCTGTGATCAGTCATAGTCAAAATGCAGGCACATACACATTAAAAGTATTATATAGAATTACCTTTAGGCTATGTGTGTACTATATATATGAAACACAAATGGATTTCATGTTTCAGCTTAGGTCCCATGCCCAAAATACATCATCATGTATATACAAATATTCCAAAACCTGGAAAAATTCAAAATCAGAGACAATCCTGGTCCCGATCATTTCAGATAAGGGATATTCAACCTGTATTGATTTGGGGGAGCACTTGGATGTTAGCAGTTTTTTGTCTTCCTTGCCACACCTTAGTCCTGTTTTCTTTGGTCAATGTCCAGTGTGCAAGTGCCTCATTTTCCACAAACAGCCTTAGCTGTTTCCACCTTGCTTAAACCCAAAAGTAGCCTCTTCCATGAAGTCATTTCCCCCATTGTAGCCTATTCCAGCAGTGGTGGGGGTACTCCTTATGCTCATTGTGAGAGGTGGTGCAGGCATTGTCCTTGCTCCCCATTGCCATCTCAATCCAGTGTCCACACACTTCTCCTTCACTTTGATAGGACAATTTACTAAAATATCCCATTTTTTTTCCCTTTAGTTCTTCCTCTTTCGATTCCAAGCAGGTAGAAGATAGTCTTCCTGCCACAGGGGACATCTCACAACATGAAAGCAGAACTGCTTGAAGACAATCTTCTTCCTTGCTATCCTCTGACATCCTGCACAATCCTCAAGAACTCAGCTGTTAGGATGGAGGAGAAACAGAACAGGAAGAAGGACGATGCCTGTGATCAGCAGTGACAGATCCTGATGACAGCCTCCAAGCCATGCATCCTGACTGTCTCTAATGCAGGGCGGTAAGAGCTCAGAGGTGAGTGATGGAAAGCGGTAGGATTAAAACTGTATTTTGAAGATGGAGCTGGCAGGATTCGTTAAATGATTAGACAAAGAATTTTTTTAAATGAGATGGAGTTAAGGATGATAACTCAAGTTTTAGCCTGTGAGAAATAGAAAGGGTAAGATGGCCATCTATTGAGAGTTTTTTTATAGCAGAAAGATCAGGTGTTTGGTTTTAGATTAAAGTTTGAGAAGCCTTTTAGATATCAAAGTGAAGATATTGTATAGGTTATCAAAAATACAAATCTAAAGTTCCATAGGGGACATCTAAGCCTAGGATAGATATTTGGGAATCAACAGTAAGAGAGAATGGGCCAAGGAACACAGCTAGAGAAAGGAAGATGAATACCTGGATATGGGATTAGGGTTACAACATGGAGGTCATTGGTGGCCTTGACCAGAACTCTTTCAATAGAGTGATTGTAGGTCGAAGCCAAAGTGGAGAGAATAGAGAGGGTTTCATGAAGGCAAGGTGGAGAGAGATTGGAGATAGCCAAACAGGGTAATATAGACAACTTTTTCAAGAGGTTTTTCAGAAAAGTTGAGGCACAGAAGTAAGATGCTCAGTGGAAGACAATGTGGGATTGGAGAGATTTTATTTTGAAATATGTGGAAAATTATATCATGTGATGTTAGATGATGTGAGGGGAATGGGGAAAATTGCTGATGTCCTTGAGGAGTTGGAAGGTGGTCAACTCTTCCATCTTGAGAAGCAGTTTGGCAGAACATGGATTCTGGGAATGGACTACTGGGACTCAAGTCAGAGCCCACTGCTTATCAGCCACATAAGTGGAGTCAACGTTCCTTGACTCCATACCTTTGTTACCTACCTCTGTGGGGTGGGGATGATAGCCCTACCTCCCTTATTGGGGAGAAATCAATAAGTTAATAAACAAAGGGTTTAAAATAGTGCCAGCCCCTTAGAAAGTTTTAGCCCTGTTGGTGTACAAATGGAGAACATGGCCTTAGGAGCAAGGGAGGCTCCTGTAGTCAGCAGGAGGGGAGGTAGCAGATGAGGCACGGCTCTGGATGGATGGGGGCATGCCACAGTGACTGCTTCTGGACATTTTCTTCATTTTGCTTCTGTTTCTTCAGTGACACAAAGCAAGGCCATCACAAGAATGAAGGCACACAAGGAGGTATTGTGGTTTAGGAAAGGAAGAGAAAGAAAGGACTAGATGAAGTCTCAGGAAAAGCAGTCCCATGGATTTAACTAGGATTGGAATGTTCCCAGGTGAATATAAGATAAAGTGAGTGAGGGTGTATACAAGAAAGTGATTAAAATATTGAACCATAGGCTTAACTATGGGAGTAGTGAGAAAAAAAGTTATAAGATCAGTTTTTCTGTAGGTCCTGATGAGGTTTAGATGTTGTTAGAATTGGGGTACTAGCAAGAATGAACTGAAATGGTAAGAGGTAGTTCAGGGAAACAGAGAACTGGTGATCAGAAGCCAGAGGTGCCCACACTTATTTTCTCTTCTTTCTGGACACACAGCTAGCCTTTCTGAGCACCCTTATAGTAAAGGGTGAACATAGGACTAAAGTCTAGTCATTCTCTAGTGAGCAGAGAAGATGCGTGTCATTTCTAGACCTGCCCCTAAAACATTCCCATACACAGTCCTGCTGCCTCTTTGTCTCTAATGATTCAGTGAAGGTGGATGTAGTAAACTAGGAAGTCATGTGATCAAGATGACATAGCCACAGAAAGGAAGGAGCAGGGGTTACTGCCCAGAGGAGAGCTATCTGCTGGTCAGGTACACTCCCCTTTAGACACCATATGAGGAAGGAATAAACTTCTGTCATGTTTATATTTTGCAGGTTGGTTAGTAATGTGATTGTAGTTAACATTACCTAAACTAATACAGAAGGCCTATAGTTTTCAGTGATTGAAGGGTTTTGACAGAACCATGGTTGTAAGAGGTTGAAATAAAATGGTGCACAGAATTGGGAAACAGGAGGCCATGGAATATCTACATAGATGTTGAAATCACAGAGAAGCATGGGAATTTGTGCTACAGAGAATGACAGTGAGTTCAGGGCTAAAATATTTAAGAAATGTGGAGTGGTTTAGGGATCTAAAGATGAGAGAGAGAGAGACAGACAGACAGACAGAGACAAACAGATACAAATAGTGTATTCTCACAACATGAGATTCTAAAAGAAAGAATTCTGTGGAGAAGAAGGCAGAGTGGTCTCCAGGTAGCAATGTTGAAAAAAAGAATAGAATATCAATTTCATCTTCAACATGCTGAACCATCCCTAATCCGAAAATATGAAAGCTCCTAAATCTGAAACTTTTTGAGTGTTAACATGATGTTACAGGTAGAAAATTCTAAAC